GCAGAATGGTATGGTTAGACGCATGTCACCTAACGCATACAACTGCATTTTGGGATGGAAAGCAGACAGTCACAGAGGTCGGGTTGCACGGTGGCACTGTGGGCTAAACCACAGAGCCTAGGACTTGCCGATCAGAAGGTCAGCGGTTCGAATCCCCGTGACAGGGTGAGCTCCCGTTGCTCGGTCCCTGCTCCTGCCAACCTAGCAGTTCGAAAGCACGTCAAAGTGCAAGTAGATAAATAGGTACCACTGTGGCAGGAAGGTAAACGGCGTTTCCGTGCGCTGCTCTGGTTCGCCAGAAGTGGCTTAGTCATGCTGGCCACGTGACCCAGAAGCTGTACACCAGCTCCCTCGGCCAATAAAGCGAGATGACCCCAGAGTTGGCCACGACTGGACCTAATGGTCAGGGGTCCCTTTACCTTTACCTACTGCAGTGAGCAAATTTCGCATGCATGGCATTTCTGTGAAGGCCCACTATTAAATTATGGCATAGATAACTGAGCACCGTGAAACTAGTGGCTCTTCCTACCCGTCACTTGCACGCGAGCCGAGGTCTTCAGCTCGCCAGTGCTGCAGGTATAATCCCCAGCATCGGAACTCTTTACATCCCGGATCACTAGCTCTGCCACAGCGCCACGCTGCTTCAACTCATACTTGTCGCCGGCCTGCAGGACTTCGTTTCCCTTCATCCACTGCACCGGCAGGTCTGCCTTGTTAAGCTCACAGGTAAGCCGCACCTTGCTTCCTTCCTCAGCTTCCCTGTTCTGCAGTTCTTGTTGAAAAAGAACTGGAAGGGCTAAAATGCAGAATTAAAGAAGGTAAACATGGGCCAGGAGGAAAGGCTTAAGAAAAGCTGCGGGTTCTTTGCTTCCCCAACAGCTTTTGCAAGAAGGAATTTGAAGCAAATAATAATAATAATAAAATTCAACTGATGGAAATGTCATTGACCTACTGTTCTAACCACCTATTCTCCACATGGGGAAAAGGCTTAAGAATATTACAGTAACCGGCTTGATAACTTAATGCTTTAAAAAAAGAAGGAAATAATGCAATTAGGTTCACCTGAACTGTAAGTTTTACATTCCCTACCCATTGATTTAGACATATGGTAAAGATCAAAGCAGGTAATATCTAATTAACACATAGCACATAACATAAGATACACATCTAGGTATCTATGTGGACTTTGGCAAAATAAAGACAAGTGGATTTTGGCATAACAGACAACAGCGAATATGTAGATACTCTGATAGTTCAAAAATAGTTTCTGTTGGTAGACTGTGAGGTGGAGTTACAGTACATCTATAGTCAAAGGACTGAGAAGAAGCTTATGAGTTATGTCTCTTTCTTTCTTTTTCTTTTTAAAAAAGGTAGGATTTGCCAGTTGGTAATTTCACATCACATTTCAAACTCCCTTCTAGCATAAGATTATTGAGGATGGACATCTCTTCTGAAGCAGACACTGGCATCCAAGCCAAAGGACTATTTTTCTCCCTTCCTGCTAGTCCACACTTCCTGTAGAAAGGTCACACGAACACAGATGGGCATCTTCATCCTCTATGGTTTTATTAGTCCAAGTTCTTAGATGTAGTCATCCATAGCTGCCAGTACAGGAAGGGAATGCCAATGAAATATTGGTGATTGCCGCAATAGCTCAGTTGGTAGAGGCTCTTAATCTCGGATTGTGAGTTTGAGTCCCGTGTTGGGCAAAATATTCCTGCACTGCAGGGGGTTGGAGTAGATGACCCTCGTGGTCCCTTCCAACTCTGCAATTCTATTCTATAATTCTATGAGAATTAATTCTATAATTCTATGAGAATCCTTCTCAACATGATTTCATCATGATCTACTCTTCTAGCACGGTTTACCATCTTCCATTTCTAGAAACTTGACATCCTTCTATAGCTTCGTTTAGAGGAAAACTGTTTCCAAGCAAATAAAACTGGATATGTAATGGGTGGGAGTGTGGGTGGGAGAAGCTGCTGTCTCTCAGCAAATTTTCAGTTTGTTGACTCTTCCCTTTCGCACCTTCAGAAACAGGAGTTTGCCCCAGAACAACAGAAAAAGATCTTTAAACAACAGAACAGGTGGAAATTAACGTTGATCAGATATCCATAGTATATCAACAGGACAGCTTTAGGTTGGAAAGATAGAGAAAAATGGACAGCAGAGGCATGGAATAGTTATTTGTTTGAACTTATTCAGTCGGACATTGTCACAGTCATGTCACAGGAAACAACGTGGAAGGTCAAGTCCACCACGATAAGGAACAGATGGAACCCCTATCTTCAGTGGATAAAAACTACTGGAACAAAAGACATTCGGTGAAAACTAAAGATGCTATGCCCGTGGCTGAGGATAATAGTTTGAACCCTTCCAATGGATATGGGGAGGGGGAGAGGGAGGAAAAAATTGTATGGGAAATTTAAAATTGGAAGGAGATAATAGTATGTGAAAATCCCAAACTTGAATAAAACTTTTTAAAAAAAGTATACCAACATTAGCAACAATCCTTCTTTTGATTATGGAGGCAACATCCCATGTACCATGTGAATTCTTTCCAGGCATATGGAGCTACCGATTATATTCTTCAGAGATCTGTATAAGCTGATAAAGTGCATCCATTCTACGTACTCAAGGAGAATAATTTCTTTCAAGTAGAATACTCTGGATCCTGTTGACACCTGGAGTGCTCTCTGGTCCAAAGAAAAACACTTCAGTTGATTTCATATTCAACTATGAAGTCCACTGATGAAATCACGTAGAATAGACTGAACCAGTAAGAGATCATTTTCAACCCAGTTGCAAACTTAGCATTGATAATCAGAGTGCTTAATACAACACAACTAACATTTATTTCCATTGTAATGAGAATATTTGCTCTCCTGGCTTGACAGTGAATCATAGAATTGTAGAGCTGGAAGGTACCTAAGGGTCATCCAGTCCAATTCCCTGCAATGCAGAAATCTCAACAGGTGGTCCCCCATCCAATCTGAAACCATAGCTGACCCTGCTTAGCTTTGCAAATGTGCTAGCATTTTTATTGCTGCACCACTGGGAGACTCCCGTTTCTTTGTATCACCTTCTATATCTCACTTTCCATTTTATACATGAGAAGGGCTCTTCAAATCTTGACATGGTATTTCGGGAGTTAAAGATGCACCTCCCAAAATGGTTTAGAACTTACAGAGTATTTGCAGGCAGGTCAATAATAAACTTGGAGGATAACAGCTACTACCCACAATGGTCATGTTTTACCTCCACTGTTGGAGACAGTATGCACCTGAAGAGGAGAGGCTGGTCCACTAGGGTGAATGGCACACTGCCCCACCAATCCCAGTCTGCTCTCAGCCAGCTCTTGCCTGCCTGCCTTCTTACTTGCATCCAGTTCCGGGCTGGCACTGCCTGTAAGTTTCTTCACCTTGCCTGTGTAGAACTCAAGAGGGAGAAGGATGGGGACAAAACTAAAACTATCTGGCTCTGCTTGTCATTGGCTCCAGCCCATCAGTTCCAATGGGCACTCACCACCACTGATCCTTCTTTATATTTGCACGAAACAGTAACATCCAAAGGCACTTTCTGGGCCAGTACAACAATTGCTGGAATGGAGGCTGTATGCTTCTGAATGCCAGCTGCTGGGAATCACAGGTGGGGAGAGTGATGTTGCGCTCATGTCCTGCTTGTGGGTTAGGCACAGACAATTGGTTGGCAACTGTGGGAAACAGGATGTTGGACTAAATGGGCCTTTGGCCTGATCCAGCAGGGCTCTTCTTATGTTCTTTTCAGGACCTTGGAAAGCTCCACAGTAATGCAGATGTTGCTCTAATCTAAAGCCTAAAATTGGTCTGTTGAGACCATACAGGGAAGCCAAGAAGTTTTGGGTAGCTAGTATGATGACACAGAGCAGAATTGAGTCTGCTTGCTTGAGTGGTCCAAGCTGCTGGTCTCCAGGTCAGAATCCAACATCAAGTTGAGACAGAAATGAGCTGTAGCACGTGAAAAGCATCTCACCTCCAATGGGGCACTGCCTTGTTTAGCAGCTTTGAACTGCAACTTCCTCACACTTTTGCTTTTACCATCATAGAAGAATCTAGTGCTTGCCTTCATCTAGTTTACCGTCTATTGCAGTCTTCATGCCTGGATCATTTTTCATGAGTGGATTCCCCATTAAATGCCTCAAAGTAGCAGATCCTTTGAGTGACGATTGCATCTGAAAGTAGCATCCCCCTGATGCAACCCATTGTCACCTGATTCAGCTTTATTGCAAACCTATTGTGGATCATATATTGTGTTGTAGGGATCAACCACTTGTGCATAGCAGACACCTTTAAATCAAACATGCATGTTCCAGGCCTTTGGTTATTGGCCTGGAAAAAGGAACATGAGCACAAAATAAAACATCAAGAAGTTTCCATTGTAAGGCATAGTTCAAAGAGAAGTGCCTCTCACTTATCATGAACCTGTAATATAAAGAGACTTAGATACACATCCATGATTGCTGATAAAGGAAAGAATATGAAAAAGTTACATGTTGTAATAAATACAGTATATGCCAATACAGATTTCACTGTGCAGGAGACTAGTTTAATTAGACAAATCATGGTTACAACCTACAGCAGCTTTCCTCCAACATGGTGCCCTACAAATGTTGTACAAATTATAAATTCTTGTTGTTGGACTACAACTCCCCTCATCCCTGACCACTTGTTATGCTCGCTGAGGCTGATGGGAGTTGAAGTCCAGCATCATCAGGAAGGCATGAGGTTGGGAATGGCTGATCTACAGTGGCTTGGGCTATTTGTTGCACCAACTCCATCTCAGGCAAAATTACATTAATGTAAGAACTGCTCCAGTTTTCTGGTTTCCTTACACGCTCTGGAGAAAACACAGGAAGCTGCTTTATATCAAGTGAATTCATTCATCTGTCGAGAATTTCTGACAGTAACTTGCAACACTGAACTGTAGAGTCGGAAGGGACCATGAGGGTCATCTAGTCCAGCCCCCCAACATGGGTCTCGAACCCACAACCCTGAGATTAAGGGTCTCATGTTCTACTGACTGAGCTATCCCAGGGTTTCAGGCAGGAGACTCTCTCAGCTTCACTGGAGACACCAAGGTTTGGACCTTGGATCTTTTGCATGCACATCATGTGCTCTACCACCAAACTATGGCCTTTTCCATTTATTTGACAAAATCTAAATGCTGGGACTACAGGCTGAATCCCCCCCCCCATGGCAATAACTAATAAGACAAACCACACAGCGTTCGTACCTTGCACTACCACCTTTGCACTCGACTGGGTCTCGCCAATGTCACAGGTATAAATGTCACTGTCGTCTTCCTGTAAGTCATTCACTGTGAGTTGCAGGACCGTCCCCTTCTGGCTGATCTCGTATTTCTTGCTCGCCTTGAGGTCCGTAATCCCTTTCCTCCAGGTCACTGCAGAAGCCGGCTTCTTGGTTTCGCAAGTAAGAACTGCTTTTTTATTTTCCTCCAGCTTCAGGTCCGTAAGGTCTTTGATGAAGCAGTTTCCTGCTTCTGAAAGGAAATGCAATAAAGTGATAGGTAAGCGAGCACTCAAATCAAACACAGCGACAGAGATAAATGAAACAATGGCTCAAGGATGGTGGCTACATGCTTCTCTCGTACTTCTCAGAGGTGAAGATTCTCATGCCACAACCCAAACACACAGCACCACCTTGGAGCAATTTACAAGGCTCGTAATAGACAGGGAAGAATGTTCACCACTACTTGGAACTTAAAGGATATAAATGGAATGAGGTTGAATCCTGACAAGACAGAAGTACTGTTCTTGGGGGATAGGGGGTGGGCTGGTGTGGAGGACTCCCTGGTCCTGAATGGGGTAACTGTGCCCCTGAAGGACCAGGTGCACAGCCTGGGAGTCATTCTGGACTCACAGCTGTCCATGGAGGTGCAGGTCAATTCTGTATCCAGGGCAGCTGTCAACCAGCTCCATCTGGTACACAGGCTGAGACCCTACCTGCCCACAGACTGTCTCACCAGAGTGGTGCATGCTCTGGTTATCTCTCGCTTGGACTACTGCAATGCACTCTATGTGGGGCTACCTTTGAAGGTGAGCCGGAAGCTACAACTAATCCAGAATGCGGCAGTTAGACTGGTGACTGGGGGCAGCCACCGAGACCACATAACACCGGTCTTGAAAGACCTACATTGGCTCCCAGTACGTTTCCAAGCTCAATTCAAAGTGTTGGTGTTGACCTTTAAAGCCCAAAACAGTCTCAGCCCAGTATACCTGAAGGAGCGTCTCCACCCCCATCATTCTGCCCGGACACTGAGGTCCAGCGCCGAGGGCCTTCTGGCGGTTCCCTCCCTGCGAGAAGGCAAGTTACAGGGAACCAGGCAGAGGGCCTTCTCGGTGGTGGCACCCGCCCTGTGGAACGCCCTCCCACCGGATGTCAAAGAGAACAACAACTACCAGACTTTTAGATGACATCTGAAGGCAGCCCTGTTTAGGGAAGCTTTTAATGTTTAATAGGTTATTGTATTTTAATATTCTGTTGGAAGCCACCCAGAGTGGCTGGGGAAACTCAGCCAGATGGGCGGGGTTCAATTAATTAATTAATTAATTAATTATGATGAAAGAGAGAATAGAGCGAGATGCTAACCATCTAGCCTGGTGAGAAGACCCCTCTCTTCTGAACCGTATTTAAGACAGGCTGCTGGAGCACAGTGAGGTCATTGCCAGCAACTGGACCATTTCTGCCTTATTTTATACTTCCTTCTTGCTTGCTGCTTTTATATTCAAGTCTACATTATTTATTTTTGTAATATGGAATTCCCACCCCCTATATTTGGCAAACTGTTGATGGTTGTGCTTTGAAATCTGCAGTTTCTGAGATTTGGTAAAAGGTATACGTAAAGGGACCCCTGACCATTAGGTCCAATCGTGGCCAACTCTGGGGTTGCGGCGCTCATCTCACTTTATTGGCCTAGGGAGCCGGCGTACAGCTTCCGGGTCATGTGGCCAGCATGACTAAGCCACTTCTGGCGAACCAGAGCAGCGCATGGAAAAGCCATTTACCTTCCCGCCGGAGTGGCACCTATTTATCTACTTGCACTTTGATGTGCTTTCGAATTGCTAGGTGGGCAGGAGCTGGGACTGAACAACGGGAGCTCACCCCGTTGCGGGGATTCAAACTGCCAACCTTCAGATCGGCAAGCTCTAGGCTCTGTGGTTTAACCCACAGCGGTAGGTTTGCCTTTAAATGCAAATTGAATCTAGTTTCTCTCCACTGCTAGGTGGAACCAAACTGCATTTCAGAAAATTTCCTTTCCGATTGCTGACTGGATCTACTCTTTGCAGGCCACCACCACTGACCTTCCACAGTAAGTGTTGCTTTTGTTTTAGAGATTTCGGTCTCGCATGTGTATTCCCCACTGTCCTTGACTGAGGCATCGTGGATGATCAATATGACACGGGTCCCCTCCTCGCGCAGGTCGTACTTTTGGCTCCTCCGAATCTCTTTGCCATCCTTGCGCCACTTAATGTTGCCGTCCCACTTGGACAAGTCGCAACTCAAGCTAGTCTCCTGCCCCACCAACGCGGTCTTGTCCTCCAGCTCACGAACAAATTCCGCTGGCTTTTCTAAAGGGAAAGGAAGCAAAAGAATCTTTCTGTTAAGAAGAAAAATAACTCCTCATGTTTATCATCTTTTTTACTATGTTGGAGAATTTTTTTTGGGGGGGTGAATCTGTAGTAAAGGAGCAACAAGACAAGGAACTGAGATTCAGCAGGCACCTTCTGTTTCATCTTTTAAACATGTGCTGAAAATGTTTCTGTTCCATCATGCTTATGCAATTAGGAAAAAATCTTTCCAAAGAAGGTAGCTGATTTGTGATTTTAACATGTTTATATGGTTGTATGATTTTATGAATAATTGTTGCAAACCACTCTGATTTTTCAAAAACAAATAGTGGTATAAAAGGTAAAGGGACCCCTGACCATTAGGTCCAGTCGCGGACGACTCTGGGGTTGCAGCGCTCATCTCGCTTTATTGGCCGAGGGAGCCGGCGTACAGCTTCCGGGTCATGTGGCCAGCATGACTAAGCCACTTCTGGCGAACCAGAGCAGCACATGGAAACGCCGTTTACCTTCCCACCGGAGTGGTACCTATTTATCTACTTGCACTTTGATGTGCTTTCGAACTGCTAGGTTGGCAGGAGCAGGGACCGAGCAGCGGGAGCTCACCCCGTCGCGGGGATATATTTTCATAAATAAATAAACTAAATAGTGCCATTTTATAATCCGTTGAGACTGTCCATGTACCAAACAGATGTTCCTGCTTAAGATGCACACCCAAATTTCCTCTACGCACCTTTCACGACTAGAGTGGCTTTGGAGCTTAAGTCACCAAGCGAGAAAACAACCTCTCCAGCATCAGTGGCCATTGCTTTTTTAATATTGAGAGTGTATTTCCTCCCTTTGTTGAATGCTCTAACCCGTCCCTCGCGGCCCACTTCGGTTCCGTTGATGAGCCAGCGGCAATCTTCAGGGCTTTCGTGGGAGAGAACACATTCAAAGCTACAACTCTCCCCTTCCAGGACTTCCGTGTTCTTGAGGCGTTTGGTGACACCGATGTTCAGTTCTAAGAACAGAGATAAAAGGGTTATCAGAGAGGCTTTGGCTCCCTACACAAGGCAAGTGCAATGCAGAGTGAGAGCAGGGGACCCCCTGTGCAAACAGAGAGCATGGCTAAGGAATCCCCAGGGCATTTCCACAGAGGAAGTATGAACAGAGAAAAGCTCGTTTGGATGCATTTGAATGCATTTGTTATTTAAAAAGAGTATTGTCTTTGGGTCATTTCTCTAAGGTGGTCTTTTTAAAAAGTTTTTATGTGTTTATATGCCTATCACACTTTTAAATTTAAAATCCATTGTTGTATATTGTTTTAAATGTTTGTTTTGCTATTGGGATTGTAGCTCCATTTCTGTTTCTCAAGCTGGTCTCTGACTGTAATAAATTTCATGTTCATGAGTACAGTGGTAGCTCGGGTTAAGTACTTAATTCGTTCTGGAGGTCCGTTCTTAACCTGAAACTGTTCTTAACCTGAAGCACCATGTGGCGTTTGCCTCCTAGGTGGGTCATAAGGAAAGGGTTAAATGAGTGTGATGTGATTGGCCAGAGAGAAACTGATAGGAGGAGTTAGAGTGAGAGTCGGAGCTGTGTGGAAGTCAGTTGAGAGTTGGGAGTTGAAGAAGGAAGAGGGAGGATAAGTCTGTGGGCTGGTGGAGTTGTGTGGTGAGTGAGAGGAATTGTTAGGTGGAGTCAGATAGATAGTTGAAATAATCAGTTTGAAGTTGTTAGGAATGCACAGGACAGTTAAGGAACTAAGATTAAGAAACTGCCAAGGAAAATTAACTGAAACCATAAGCTTGTTCATGCCTATAAATAAAAGTGATTATTTGTTAATGGTAACAACTGTCTGGACTCCGTGATTACCCATGAGAAACGGGTTGGTGATAGCGAAGAAAGCAATCACAGTGGTGGCACAGGGTCAATAGACCGTCAAACGTCCGGGGGCCCTGTGTGATCGCCACACACCACTTTAGCTAATGGGGCCTCCTGCTGCCGCCGCGCTGCTGGAGCACGATTTCTGTTCTCACCCTGAAGCAAAGTTCTTAACCTGAAGCACTATTTCTGGGTTAGCGGAGTCTGTAACCTGAAGCGTATGTAACCTGAGGCACCACTGTATTGTCTTCCGTAACATTCTGGTGTATTAGAACCCTAAGAAGGACAAGAAAAGATGGCAAAAGATACACAAAGCACATTTGTTTTGGCCCTCCGCTTGTGGCCTGGCTTGTGGGGCTTCGTGGGGGTGCATGTTTACACCTTGCAACTCTACAGTTCCAGACTTCATAATGAAGCAGCCCCTACCTTGGACGCTGACTCTAGACTTGGCCACCTCTGTACCAAGGTCGCATGTATACAAGCCGGCATCAGCCTTGTCGAGGTCATGGATAATGAGACCCAGCGTCTTCCCAGCCTGAAGCATCTCGTACTTGTCGCTTGGGGTGAGTTCCACACCCTCCTTC